CAGCACATGCCACGGGCCAGCTACCCAAGCACTGAGCTGAAGGGATAGCAAAGGCAGGAAGTTGGATGAAGAAAGCCTTTGCCTACCCCATCTTCTCTCACCCCACCGGGACACCCCCAGCCCTGCCCGGGTGTGAGCAGACACCATGATGCTGGGGGCACAGTCCGTCCCTCCATCAAATCTCTCTACACCTCTAACACCACCCAGACTTGAACCCAAAGGCCAACCCAAGTCATCACCTTCACCTCCGATCCCTCTGCTCTGTCCACTTGGATTTTTTTTCCATAGGTGTATATATTCCAGCTGACCCTCTGAGCTCACCCGCACCCTCAGGTTCGGGCCAGGAAAGCTTAGCCCAGCTGGTTGGGGAGTTGCTGAGGTACCTAGAAGGCCATTCCCAGCAGGAAGAAGGTATCTAGCAAGGCTGCCGGGAAGTAAAGATGGGAAGGAGGACACGGAGCGGGAGGGGGGGAGTTGAGGTTCCAGTTCCGGAAACCATATGACAAGTGTGGTGTGAAGGTTCATCCTTTTGGGAAGAGAGGCCATATTCTGCACCAGCATCTCGAAGAGCGGCGAGAAGTCAGGGAGAGAGGACAGAGCAGAGAGGGCAACGCAAGGGGTCCTTCTCACTCAGGGGCGCCACCCCACCCCCTGAGCTCGGGATCAAGCAGGAGCCCGGGGTCCAGTTCCGGCTCTGTCATTCACTTGAGCATGTCACTTTCTTCTCTCTGAGCTTCCCCATTTGTAAAGTGAAGGGTTCACAGCAGAACTGGAGACTCTGTCCCAGATGGGGAAGGAGAAAAGAGCATAGTATGGAGATGGGAGAAAGGATGGAAATGCAGCAAATTCAGCAGAACTTATGGGCAAGGGGGTGGGCGAACCTGGACACAGTAAAGAGAGGGCATTCCAGCCCCTCCCCCAGGACACAGCAAAGGGAGGTGGGGAATGTCCCCGGGCTGGCCCGCCTCCCTAAGGCCAGGAGCAGTCACAAGCACCCACACACACACACACATCCTTGGCCAGCCCTCTCTCCAAGGGGGTGGGATCAGCATGCCTGAGGTGAGAAGTCCACAGCTCAGCAAGGCCAGTGTGGCACAGCTGTCCGGGATTAGCACCAAATCCTGGGCTGCTCTGTGCAGGGATCACGCATCCTCAGCCTCACAGCTGCACCCTGCCCACTCCGGCCCCTCAGCCCTCATCGGCCCCTCCTCTCCAGCACTCACTCCCTTCTCAGAGGGAAGCTGGGACCCTGCCTCTGCCCTGGCAGGCAGGGGAGGGGCTTTAGAGTGGGAGGGGCAAGAGAGGTCAGAGGCACCCCTGGCGAACAGCTCCATCCACAGAAACCTGGGAATCCCTTGGTACACCACTGAACAGAGGGGACAGACACTGAAGGCTTCCCTCGCCAAACCCTATGGCTCTGCCCAAGGCAGCCTTGGCCTAGAATTACCTTGTCTTTAGGCCACCCAGGCCCTTCCCTCCAGATGGTTCCTGTCCTTGGAGAGGCAGAGGCAGGAGGGCCAGATGGAGCCCCTACAGCTGGGAACCCTCAGTCCCAGCTTCCTGGAGCAGCGTGCTCCTGAGGCCCCCCAGCTGTTAGGAATCTTGTCACCTACCCCCCCACGCACACCCCAAAGCTCCTTGCTGTGGGCCACACACGTCCCCCCACCTGAGCAGGGGCTGGGGGGAGGAGGCCCCAGCACACCTCCCCATCCCCCAGGGTCATCCAGGCTCCTGGCTCTGCCCTAAAACTCGATCCACACTCCCATCCCTGCCCCAAGAGGGAGGCCACAGTGAGGAATCATACCCAAACCTCTCTCCGGGGAAAAGGCTTCCTGAAGGAGAGGACGGGAAGAAGCAGAAGCCGGGGGCCTGGGTTGGCTGAGTTCCTGTGGCCATGGCTCTCCCCAGCCTCCCAGTGGGATGGGCAGTGCTGGGGTGACACAAAGTTGGGCCTTAGCACTAGGTGGGGCTGGCGCAAAGCGGGGTGGCGTGGGTGCAGGGAAGAAGGGCTCCCCAGCACACTGTGGCCCCTCCAGACTCCCTCCTCTTTTATCCGCCCTGCTTCTCCCTCTCCCGCAGTTACACAGTGACCTAGAAAAAGGCCGTGGGTCGGGGCGCCACTGGGCTGGAGAGACGACCGGGAGAGGGAGGGAAGGGCAGCCTCTCCGCTCAGATCCCGGCACCCCTGGGATAGCCGCCGGCCCACCCCGTGGGCTTCCAGAGCTGGAACGGGAGTCGCTGAAAAGCTGGGTCTGTGGCTGAGCGCAGAGAGCCCGGTCAATACGACGGTTTCCAGCCCCTGCGCCCCCACTCCCAAGGCGCTGAGGCTCTCATCTGGACGGGCTCTCACCTGTGTGTGTGTGCGCGCGCGCGCGCGCGCCAGCATCGCCGGAGGACTTCCCGCTGAAGCCGTCTGGCGCTGGGGGCCGCTCCCTCGAAGTCGGGCGTGGAGTCCGCGGGCCGCCGGGGAGCCGCGACCCCCGAGCGCAGCCGGACGCGCCTACGAGTCATCCTCGCCTCCGCTGGCGCCGCCGGGCTCTCCGTCCCGGGACGCGCGCAGCTCTCGGGCCAGCAGCGCCGTCAGACCCTGGGCGCGGAGCAGTAGGCCGGCGCCCAGGAACAGGAGCCCGCAGAGCACGAGCAGCGACAGCACGCCCAGCACCGCCGCCTGCACGGCGCGCGGCCCCTCGGGGGGCTCCGGCAGCAGCCCCGACTGGTTGCAACAGGAGCTCAGCCAGGCGGCCCGGGCTGTGACGTCCGCCTGCGAGCCGTTCATGCTTCACGCCGGCTGCCCAGATGTGCTGGCGACCGCCAGATGTGCGGGAGCCCCGGGCCGGCGGGTGGGCGGCGGCCGCGTCAGGGAGGGGCCCAAGGGGCGGATCCCAGGCGCCGTGCGACCCCACCCCCTGCGTCGGAGCGTTCAGGCCCTTTTTAGACAAAGGGCTCCTCCAGTGTAGCTATGGCCCAAAATCCCAGGGCCGGTGTTACTTCTCGGCTCAAAGGCCCACACAACCACGCACGCACCCAACCGGCCAAACCCAGGAGTCCTGTCCCCAGGGCTCTCCCTCCCCCTTAGCAAAGGTCAGGAGATAGCCCGCCCTCAGAATCCCGAAAGGATCTTCCAGACCACATCCCAGGTGCTGGCCAGGGTGCTGCCCCCGCTGAGCGGGACACAGGACAAACAAGGGCCATCCCCACTCCTGGGCTTTCTGTCCCTGGGCCAAAAAGGTCAATACTGCTAGGTGGCCCAGGTGGCCACTGGGACAGGAGGCAAATAAGCAGCCTCTAGACACTTAGTGATCATAGCCTTCATCGTGCATCATCCCCTTGGGAGCCTCCTGGGGCCGGACAAGCAGACCAGTTCCTCCTTGGTCCCAGGGGAGGGAGATGGAGGGCAGGAGGACTTTAAGGCCTGCCCCCATTCCTTTGCTCAGGCCCCAGAGGTCAAGGAGAGTTACAGACCAAGGGGAAAGCATAGATCTGAGTCACCAGGGCTCCTGTCCTGACCTTGAGTAAATCAGTCCCCTACCTCCGGGAAATCACACCACCAAAAGGGATGGAGATGTTACTGAACTGCCCACTAAGGAGAGCTTGCTGCCAACTGGGTGTCCCACAGCCAAGCCAGGGTGGGAGACTGGCGCAGAGCCTGGCTGCAAAAAAGTAGAAAGTCTGGGGAAGCTGGGATGGAGGAAAAACCCTCCCGACCAGGTCTCCTGAGAACTGTAGCAACCCTGAGCTCGGTTTAAAACAAAGTCGCTGTCGGCAAACACCTGACTCAGCCAACTCCCCGGAAGGGATGAGCTGATGGCCTCTAGGAGGAAAAGAAGGTCCCCCAGACTGCAGCAGGCCAGGAAGGATCACACCTCATCAAGGACTTGCTGAGAATTGGCCTTCCCCATCTCCAAACCCCTGAGAACCTCCTGAGTTCTCCAACTCCCCAGTGCCCCAGAGGTCAAGGGTAGGACATCAGAAAACCCCTCATGAAACAGCGCACGGCCAAGAGTGGCTTGGGGTGAGAAAAGCATGCAAACACTTCCTGGCCATCCTGGCGCCTAACTGCTCCAGGACCATGGACAAGACCCCCAGCCCCTTTCTCCCTTAGCACAGCTGCTTATGCACTGCTCACTTAGTTTGGTTAGAACTGGCACCTATGTAACAAAAAGCATTGTAAAATATGGAAGACTAAATCAATGAAAAGCACACAATGGAGTTCACCGGTTTTGAGCACGCTTGCCTAGAAATGAGTGAGTTACCAATGTCCTAACAAATGGCGAGGGCCAGCCCAAACTGGAAGAAGTGTTACCAGACACCAGTCTCAAGGTGGCAATCTCTCTCCAGAGAGAGAAACACCAAATCAAATGAGCTTTCTGGTGCAAGTGGGGGCCTGTGTGTGCTCTATGAAGACAGAGGAGATATTCTTTGGGGTCATCTGAAGGAAGACCAGATAATATAAAAGGCAGGCATGTCATAGCTCCCTTAGGAAGGGAGGAGAAATAGCACAGTCATATCCAAAAGCAGTAGATCCTGATCTGTGCCCTCATTCATGGGACTGACCATGGTCACACCTGCTTATGTGAATGTCCAACAAAGTACAAAATCAATCAGCTTTCATCTATCTTTAATCCCATCCGCCCACTCCCCTCATCTTGGAATAATGCTCTCAACACACACGTGTGTCCTGGCAGGCCTGCTATAAGTGTTAATGTTTTGGGCTTCCCTGGTGGTGCAGTGCTTGAGAGTCTGCCTGCCGATGCAGGGGACACGGGTTTGTGTCCCGGTCCGGGAGGATCCCACATGCCGTGGAGCGGCTGGGCCCATGAGCCACGGCCGCTGAGCCTGCGTGTCCGGAGCCTGCGCGTCCGGAGCCTGTGCTCCGCAACGGGAGAGGCCACAACAGTGAGAGGCCTGCGTACCGCAAAAAAAAAAAAAAAAAAAAAAAAAAAAAGTGTTAATGTTTCAGGCCAGAACACCAGCCAAGGTAGAGATGGCTCAACCCAAACTCACATTCTCAACTTTATTCACCATCCTAGTGATGGCTCCTCTGTACAGCGTAGGAAAGGGGACCCCCACCAGGGGTGCGGAGAGACAGTGTAGGCCGGACTTGACCATCAGTGAAGGTGACAAGGATGACCAGAGACTGGCAACCACACACCAGGAAGCCAGGGGTGGCCCTTCCAGATCTCATCAAGGACCTGGAGCGGGTTCCAGAGCCCCAAGGGCTAACAGGGCCTAACAGTACGATCCCCAGAAGCCAAGGTCCGCAAGCCATCAAGGAGCGCCCGAGGCCCCAGCGACGCCTAGAGGGCCAGGGTGTCTTTGATGAGCCTGCGCATGGTGGTGGTGACGGAGGAGCCCAGGGCGTCGGTGATTTGGAAGGAGATCTTGTAGAGGTAGGGCTGCACGTCCCGCAAGCCTGTGTCAAACACGTTGTCCACCTCCGACTGCGTGGGCATCTTGGGCAGGTACTCGTGCCGGTTCATCACCTCTACAATGTTGGTGATCTTCTCGCAGAGCTTCTCACCCACCTTCTCCCGGCAGATCTGCCGTTCCTGCTCCGTGGCCAGGGCCACCACGTGCACCTTGACCGTCCACACCTCCCAGGGGATGCACTCGTCTGAGAAAGGCCAGCGAGACTTCTTCTTCTGATAGAACTCCAAGGACATCTGGCCCAGCCCATCGCCCCCGGAGTTTCGCAGAGCATCCTGGGGAAGGAGGAGCAAGAGTGAGCAGGCCAAAGCCTCCGAGGGGCTCTCGCCCTGAGGGCCTGCTTCCTATGCCCCAGGGAGCTGCTCTCCTAGCTTCTTCAGTCCCCCGGGGGGGCAGGGAATGAGACCCAGAGAGTAAAGGATTCGTGTGAAGTGCCACAGCCAACTGCCGGCCTAAAGCTGAATGGTCCAAGCAAACAAAATCTGTGTGCTCACCCAACTCCTCCAGCTTTGCTCATATTCTGGGCCAGGCTCCTTACACACACAATCCTTTTCGCTCCTCTCAACAACTCTGTGTGGCAGGCATATAACCTCCATTTGACGGAGGCAGAATGAGGCTCAGAGTCACTGGCAAGTTACCCTGCCAGAGTCCCAGGCCAGGGTTAGAATCCAGATTGTCTGATTTCAAAATCTTTGCCTTTCAACTTTACAAGAAGGACCTTCCTTCTCCTTCCACAACCCCGCCCCTTTGGCCCCCATCCTTCAGAAGGTTCTCCAAAATCACCTTCTCTCCAACGTCTCCTTCTCCCCAGGCCAATTAAGCACACTCCTACCTCATTCACTCAATGACAACCTAAACCCACAGCCTCTAAAGAAAAGCCCAGTGATCCTTAAATAGAGAGACAAAAGCCAAGGAACCGAAGGGGGACAGGAGGGGAAGGACAGACCAGACCTGGAGCTTCTCCCTCCTCTCCTCTGAGAAGCCAATGGGGCCACCTGGTCCGATAAATCTGCCTGCCCCCCTGTGGGGTGTGGCGACCCCACACTCCTCCTAATGCAGCCGAGACCCTAAAGCGCCTTTCCATCTGAGTCAGGGCCAACCCAGAAGGTAAGGATGCCTCCCTCAAGTCCTTAACTGCCCATCAGGAATAAGTCTCTCCTTCACGAACAAACCAAGCTCGTGTGCCCTCAGCTGACAGTAATAACAGCTGTCACTTCTATAGCGCTTCCTGTGCGCAGGCTGTGAAGCACTTGACATATCTGACTCATTTAATCCTCACGGTGCATAGACCCCACGAGGTGGGTACAATTTTCATCCTAATTTTACACACAGTGAAACTGAGGCTGGGAGGAGTGGAATCACTTGCCCAAGGTCACACACTTGCTGGGTGGTAGAGCCTGGCTCGAGTCTGTGCTCTAAGAGTCCACTGTGCTCCCCGTGCCGCTCATAGGCATCTGGAGGACAGAGGGCTGAGTACCGCTGCCTCCCTTTGAAGGGGGACTGGGAAACTCTTATGAACTTGCCCTTTCTGGCCTTGGAGGGATGGAGGTGGGGAGCCCACTGTGGCCTGGGAGAGGGTCCACCCCCTGCAAGGATCACACCTCTGTGGAATGGAAGTCAGACAGACAACCCTCCTCCTCTGACCTCAGGGAACACCTTAAGAGAAACTCCCTTGGTTACTTTAAAATTTAAAAATATGCACTCATCGGGGCTTCCCTGGTGGCGCAGTGGTTGAAGGTCCGCGGCTGGGCCCGTGAGCCGTGGCTGCTGAGCCTGCGCGTCCGGAGCCTGTGCTCCGCAACGGGAGAGGCCACAGCAGTGGGAGGCCCACGTACCGCAAAAAAAAAAAAATGCACTCATTGAAATAGTGAAACACTGCAACATTGAATGAAGACAAAATAAAAATCATGCCTCCATTCCCACCCCGAGGTGACCAACATTAGCAGAATGGCGTGTCCCATCCACCTTTCCCCTCACCCCTACAGGCACACACAGACACGTGCCACGCTGCCCAAGAGACACTCCACTTGGATGCCCACTGCCTGAGCCCAGCATCCCTCCCTCTCAGGGAGTTTCATATAAGAAAGGCCCAAATGTGGAAGCAGAGCAGAGGGGTATCAGGAGAGAGAGCTGCAGGGTCAGAGAAGGTCAAGAGCACAGGGGCAGCGATCCCCCAGGGGCCCTGACCGCCAACGCTCCGAGGGCTTCCTGCTCTGCTTCCTTGTATTTTTACCAGGTCCCCTCACCTCCCCGCCCCCCACCAAGCCCTCCTCACCCACAGAAGCTCTGAAAGTTCCTCTTCCTTAGAACCTGAAAGAACCCGACAAGTACACCCAGGAAGGGTAAGCTGATCCAGCAGCAAGCCGGGGCGGGGTGGGGACGACACTCAGGGGCCGCCTGCCGCCCACCGCGCCCCACCTTACCCTGAACTCCCCGACGACCTTGCGCAGGGCGCGGTCCAACTCCTCAGAGGAGACGCGCACGTAGGTGAAGTCGATGAAGTCGCAGTCAACGTCCTGGGTGCCCACGGTGCCGATGGAGTAGGTGCCCTCCTTCTTGTAGTGGAACTTGCCGGTGCTGCGGTGCAGGAGCACCGTGTGCAGCACGGCCAGCATGGCCTCCTCCACCTGCCGCCCCTCCACCGACACCTCCAGCACCTCCGAGCGACAGTTCATCTTGTAGCCGGTGGCCCACGCTGGGGTCGGGACGAGAGTAAAGACGGGGGAGCTTCGCCCCACCCGGGGACCGCCCTGCAAAAGGAGCCATATCAGATGTGGACACCTTCTGCATGACCTGCGTGTCACCTGTTCACTTCCTTCCAGGCCCAGCCCAGCCCCTGACGCCGCAGCCCGTCTCTGCACTGCGCAGCACGTGCTGGCAGAGAATCACAGACTCTCGGGATCGGAGAAGGGGAGAGCCTCAAAGTTACCAGTCCAAACACCCGGCCCAGGCCTGAATTCCATGACGGTATGCAGTGCAGCTTACGGCAAATGCTCACTGTGCAACACCTATCAGCCCCTGCCCTTGAGAAGCTGCCAGGATGGAGGAGAGACAGGCAGGTAAACACTACCAGAGTGGTGAGGCTACACGGTGGGAATAAGAAGAAAAGGAAGATTGGAATCTGATTTCCTGGGATCTTGAATGACCAGATTAAGGCATCTGGACTCTGTCCCGAGGGCAGTGAAGAGTCAATGCATCACTGTCCAACACTGAATCTGTGCATCAGAAAGTTAACTCTGGTTGACAAGCAAAGAATGGCTCGTCACTATTTTGGGGTCACGGACTGCTCTGAGAAGTCAGTGAAAGCTAAGAAGACTGGACTTGAAAACCTGACCGACACATACACACCAAATCTCACGTTTCCATCCACAGACTGAGGTAAAAACCTGCCAATTTAAGGCAGAAAGGGCTGGGCAAGGAGTCCAGTTAGAGGCCACTACAATAGTGACAGTTACGGAGACAGTGCAACGGGATATGGGAGAGTGAAGTACAGAGTGTGGGGTTTTCACGCCCAAAGGGCCTGGGTCTGAATCCCAGCTCTCCTATACCTTGCTCTATGACCTTGAGCAAATCATTCAACCTCTGAAGTCTATTTTCTCATCTGTAAATTTGGATCGTTACGAGGATGAAATAAAATAACACGTGTAAAACACAGCAGAACAGTGGTTAAGAAGAGCAGTGACTCTGGGCTCCCCTGGTGGCGCAGCGGTTGAGAGTCCGCCTGCCGACGCAGGGGACGCGGGTTCGTGCCCCGGTCCGGGAAGATCCCACGTGCCGCGGAGCGGCTGGGCCCGTGAGCCATGGCCGCTGAGCCTGCGCGTCCGGAGCCTGTGCTCCGCAACGGGAGAGGCCACGGCAGTGAGAGGCCCACGTACCGCAAAAAAAAAAAAGAGCAGTGACTCTAAAGCCAGACGGCCTGGGTTGGAACCCCGGCTCTGCCAACTGCTGACTGTGTGATGTGATCATGGACAAGCTGCCTCACCCCTGTGTGCCTCAGTTTCCCCAATCCATAAAAAGGGCATATTCACAATAGCTACCTCGAAAGGGTCGTCTCAAGGACAGGATGAGTAAGTATCTGTAAAGCACTTAAAGCAGCTCCTGACAAGTAGTATTAGCTGCTATGATTATTTCATCGTCATTGATGAGAGATGACGCAAGGCTACAGGACAGGACTAGTAGAGAGAGTGGGAATGAAAGAAGAGACTTGAGGGCTTCCCTGGTGGCACAGTGGTTAAGAATCCGCCTGCCAATGCAGGGGACACGGGTTCAAGCCCTGGTCCGGGAAGATCCCACATGCCGCAGAGCAATGAAGCCCATGCGCCACAACTACTGAGCCTGTGCTCTAGAGCCCGCAATATAAAACTACCGAGCCCGTGCGTCACAACTACTGAAGCCCACGTGCCTAGAGCCCATGCTCTGCAACAAGAGAAGCCACTGCAATGAGAAGCCCACGCACCGCAACCAAGTGTAGCCCCTGCTCGCCACAACTAGAGAAAGCCCACACGCAGCAAAGACCCAACATAGCCAAAAATAAAATAAATAAATTTTAAAAATTAAAAAAAAAAGAACAGACTTGAGAACCAGAACTTCATCAGTAACTGAACGTGAGCCCAGCAGGAGAGGGTTCAGCCTACACACCTCCCCTGACAGAGAGTTCACTACCTCTCCCAGCAGGCCATTCCGCCTTTTCAAAGCTCTACTCAGTGACTCCCTCTACGGAAGGAATCTCTTAGTGCTTCAAACCACTAAACTTAGTTTTGATATCAAGAGCCACACACAGGATAAGTCTCACCCTTTTTCCACAAAGGAGCCTTTCAGATATTTAAAGGCAAATCTTCCATCACCCCCTTACCCCCCCCCCCCCACCCCACCTACAGGTTAAAGGTCTCCAGTCCCCATAAACATGCCAGCTTGACATCACATCTTATCTCCTCAAGTCTGGCAGCTCTCTTCAAAGTGTATTGGTTTGTCTCTTTGTCCCTGAGACAGGGCAGCAGTCCATGGACTGCTCAGAAATCAAGCTGGCTCTGCCTCTCGCTTGGCAATCAGCCCAGGACTACCTGTATTATCAGTTATCTTTTCACAGGTGTTAATCTTGACTGATCTCTCCAACTAGGCAGACGATTCCTTGAGGGCAGGGACTGTATCCTAGTCATCACTGGAATCTCAGTATACCTGATTCCTAGTACAAAGTGACTGCTCAATTCATCCTGATGCAGGAATTGTTGCTGGGTTGGTTCTCTAGTCTAACTCCATCCAGCAATTTCCCATCTAAAGATTCCCAGCTCTGGTCCAGCTCCCCTTTCTTCCACAAAGCCCCTCTTGTATCCCCCGCAAACCTTCAAACAGGCCATCCATCTCTTCACTTTTGGCCCAAACCCAGGCTCTTCCCTCATTCTCAGCGCCACTCCACTCCTTCAGGAAGTCAATACTAACCAACCTCAGCCTCCTTCCCAACGCGGCCACCTTTGGTCTGTGATGAGCTTCTCTGCTCCCTCTCCCCCGACCCCAGTGAGCAGGGGACTTCTCCAAGGCAGGGCCTGGGAAGTCTCGTCCCTTTGGTGCCCCCAAGGCCCAGATCTGCAGAGCACAGGTGCAGAGGCTGACTGATGCCTTCTCTGAGTCAGGCCGGAGCCCAGGGTACCCCCATCCTCACCTTACGCAGAGAGGCTGGAGCGCGGGTCCCTCAGGCTGGATCTTGCCCTTCCTCCTCCTCAGGCGCAGGTAAGCCCTCCGCAGGTACGATCTCCGCAGGTACGCCGCAAACTCCGCGCGCCCAAGGAGCCGCAAGAAATGGGCTGAACGCAAAAACACACAGTTATTCGGCTCCGCATCAAGAAACCCCGGCCGGACGCAGGAAGGACTTCCCGTCCGAGTCGCGTTTCTCCAGCCACCAGTCCCGGCGAACCTCCACGGTCCAGGGCTACGCGGGAGAAGCGGACTCCTCCAGGTCTCGGGAGCGGCGCCCCGCGCCCAGCCTGGCCGGTCCCGGGAGTTCGAGGCGCGCCGGCGCTCGTACAAGAGAAGGGGGCACACGGCTAAAACGGCCCCCCACCTCCCCGAATCCCCGTCCTAGACCTTCGGGCCACGCAACCGCCCACCCCGCGGGCGTCAGATCACCTCGGCAGGAGGCGGTGCCGGCGCCGGAAGCCCTGACCCTCCTCTGCGAGCCTGGCCGGTCCCACCTGCTCCATCGGCCTCCGGCGGGGGCGCGAGCGGGGCTGGCCGAGCCCTGACACTAGTGCAGCCACCCAGATCGTTCTACGTCCACTCCAGAGGACAAAAAGAATCGTACGCTGCTCTATAATTTGAAATCTACCTGTTTCTGGGTTATCTATCAGCTTTTAAGATTTGATGGTAAGAAGTATCTCCCTCATTTGGACGAGTCCATTCACTCCCACCACCGAGGATGTTGTTGTGTTTCGGCTGGAACAACTCACTTCCGCCATAGAGATTAGAGGGAAGGAGGGGCCTGATGGGCTCTGTGCTGCCTCCCTTGGCCGAGAGTAGTCATCGGCGGCGAGCCACCCCTGGAACGGAGCCCCAAGTCTGGGCTCAGAGGCCAGCAAGGGGCATCGATCCCCCAAGATGAGGGGCATGCCATTTGGAGAGGTGCCCTGGAGATGAGCTCAAGCCAGTGTTCTGAGTGAATGGCAAAACTTTAGCTTGTTCAATGTGCACGATAGACAAGATCCCTGGCCCCACAAAGATGCTGGACAAAGGGGCTTAACCTTACTCCGTTATCTTCACACAGGAGCACTTCTTTGGTGCTCTGCCATGACGGATCTGGTGACATTTCTTGTAAAGCTTGTAATTCTGCCATTGCCTCTGTGTGTGCCTCTTGATGTCATTCATCCATTCTTATTTTCTCCTCTATAAATGGGGCCTGGGGAAGGAGAAAGCTGCCTGCTTTAGAGGCCAGCATCCTCTTCTAGAGCCTGGACTTAACCAGAAGGGAATCAGGATAAAATATTGAGAGGGGAGGATCTGTAAGGAGCCAAAGGAGGGGGACCCAGGGAGGTTAGAACCAGCCCCGGGGGGCGGAGGGGAGAGGGGCGGGGAGAAACAGAGCCTAGGGACTTCCCTGGTGGTCCAGTGGTTAAGACTCCCCACTTCCACTGCAGGAGGCGCGGGTTCGATCGCTGGTGGGGGAACTAAGACCCTGCGTGTCGTGTGACAAAAAAACAAAACAAAACAGAGCCTAACTTCCAGAGACTGCCAGTGAGTGAGGGGAGTGACTGACCGCTCTCTGTCCCCTGACACACTCATCTCAGGGCCCTTCACTGACACTGTCCTGACATCCCCATCATCACCACTACCAGTCACCGAGCTTTGCAAGGTACCACACCAGCACTTCACACGCACTAGTGTGTTGATTTCTCCAACTGCCTTTGAAAGTAAATACAGTTTCCCCCCAATTTACAGATAATGAAACTGAGGCTCAGTGATATGTAGTGATGTGCTGTGACGGCTAATGTTATGTCTCGACTGTGCCACAGAGTGCCCAGACATTTGGTCAAACATTATTCTGAGTGTGTCTGTGAGGGTCTTTCTGGAAGAGATTAACATTTGAATGCAGACTTAGTAAAGCAGATTACCTTCCCTAAGGAGGGTGGGCCCCATCCAATCAGTTGAAGGCCTGAATAGAATAAAAGGTTCTGACCCTCCCTGACTGCTTTCAAGATGGGACATCAGACTTGAAGTGAACTATCCGCTCCTCCGGGGCCCGCGTTTGAAATCGCACCATCGGCTCTCCTGGATCTCCAGCTTGCTGGCTGTAGATCTTGGGACCTATCAGCTCCCATAATCACATGAGCCAATTCCTCATAATAAATCTCTTTCTGTATATACACATCCTATTGGATCTCTTTCTCTGGAAAACCCTGACTAATACACTTGCCAAAGCTACACAGCTACTCTTTCCTCATTCTGCCAGTCTTTTTACCCACTCTCCTCCCTCCACACCTCACCTTGTCCCTGGAGCCTTTCCTGCCTGAGCCCCCTCACCTATCTTATCTCACATCCAGACACTGGCCAGTTCTTGCCTCCTCGTACCTCCCTGAATCCTTACAGGGCCATTCTCGTTGCAACTCTGACCCTGAGTCCTACACACATCTGGGTGGTCCTGTCAGGGAGCAAGGGTCTCAGCCCAAAAAAATGAGGCTGCGTGGAGTGAATTCTCCCGTCCTATGCCACTACTCCTGATGACCCAGATGGAATCATTCAATCATGCCACACCTGCGTGACTGTCCCCATGCCAGGCCGATGTCCTACCAAGGGGGACAAGTCACAATCCTGGCCCTCCAGGAACTCAGAGTCTCACAGAGGAAATGGACCAGAAGTTGCCCCTGGGTGAGAAAACACAACCAATGGTATGAAAAATGGCAGCAGGTTTTGCAGGGGCCAGAAGGGGCCAGGATGGAAGCCACTGCTGTCATCCCAGAAAGAGGCCTGTGGCCCGGAAGAGAAAGTGACACATTCAGAGTGAAGAGGAGTCCCAAGCCCGGCTCTCAGCAAGCTGGGAGGTGACTGGGCACCAGTGGAAAACCAAGACAACTGCAGAGAGCACACAACAACAACCTGAGGAGACGGACAAGAAGGGGGCTTGGCAATTCCAGGAAGAAGTGGGGCTACAGGGAATTATGCTGGAGAGGCTTCCTGGAGAAGGAGACAGAAAAGAGCTGGAGAAAGAGGTCTCACTGAGGGCTGAGGGTGGGAACTGAGAGTTCTGAGGCAGGACAGGCCGGGACAGAGGGAGCTGACTTCTCAGCCAGAGTCATGGCCAGCCAGTCAGACAGGCGACTGGCGAAGGCCCTCTGAGGCACGTCTGCAGCAAAGCCTTTGTGGAGGGACCTCGAAGGCCAACCCAAGACCTTGGGAGTAGGCAGCTGGCTTCCCATGGCGAGTGTGGCCTCGGACGGCCCCACCCCATCCTAGTGCGCCCAGGGGAGAGCTGAGCCCTGAAGCTGGCCCTGCAGGCCACCCCCAACCGCTCCAGAGCTGACCCCAGTGCGTCACAGGGAGTGACTCAAGCCTCTGCAGCAACAATGAGTGGGACTGACGTCAGGCTGGGGGCCCCTGACAGTGGCCAGCTTGGCTGTGTAGCCAGCACCCTGCCCGCTGACCCTCTAATCCGAGCCAAGCCACAGGGGCCATGAGGACCAGCTGTCCCCTCTGACATCTGCCCCCTGGGATCCTGGGCAGGGGTTGCTCCACCTCCCACCCTTTCTGGATGTCACTCCCAGCCCCACCTCTTCCCAGGCAGAGGAAACGGCTGGGCGGATGAGAGAGTGGCAGAGAGCATGAGGAAGAGGTGGCTCCCAGCCCAGTCTCATCAGGCAGCCTCTAGACCTGGGCTGGGTGGGAGGTGGCACATCTGCTGCCCTTTCCCCTGGGACACATGGGGCTCTGTCCTTCTGTGATGGGGAAGGGTGGTGTGTCTCCTTCTCTGAGAAGATCTACGTATTTGTCTCTCTGACCAAGCTGGGGTGGTGCTTTATTTCTGTGTCCTGCCGGGGTAAGGGGTCAATCTCTCCTTACTGCGAGGTCTGTGCCTCTGTTCCTTTGGGAGGTGTGTGCATATCTGTTGTTCTTCGGGGCAGAGGATTCTGTGAGGCTATCCTTGCAAAAGAAGAAGGATAGCTGTTTACCCACCCTTGGTAAGGGAGTCTCTCCACCTACTCCTGGGGGGCTGCTTTTCTGTCCCAGGTTTCCCATCGGGTGGGGTCACCTCTGTAGCTATCCTCATGGTACCCCAGTTACCTGGGATGGGGTCCAGGTCTGCTGCTTGGGCTACCCCAAGGCTGGGCTCCCCGGGTGGCGGCCCTTTCTCTCTGATGTTCCTTGACTAGGGCAGCGGCGGTCAGCACCCTGCCCGCCCGGCTCGCAGCCGGGCACCGCTCCCTGCTAACGCAGCACGTACCAAGACAGGCCCCCCCTGCACTCCCCTCCCCAGCCAGCTGCCACCCCAGGCCCTCACAGCCCAGCTGGCATGATTTATGGTCCTGAGCCAGCACCTGGGTGAGACCTTGAGGAGACCTCAAGTGGCCCCCCCGGTCTGGCAGGGTCAGGGCCCAGCAGGAGGCAAAGGGGAACCAGGGTGGTGGGCAGGATGGCTGGAGCATGGGCCTAGGGGTGGGGGACGGGAGGCAGACACCAAGGCCAGAGCCTCCAGGGCCCCAGAGCCTTCAGAGTCCAGCTGGGGACCCTGGAATGTGCCTCCCGCCCTCAGAATGTCCCTGGCTGTGTGGGGAAGGGGATATTGAGAGGGTGGAGGGGGGTTTCCTCAGCCTTGCACTCCTTCCTGTCCTTCCCACAGGGGGCTGGACGTTTCCAAGTCCCACTAGGCAGCCTAGGCCTTACCCAATCAGCCCCCAGCCCAGGGGCCAGGGCAGGGCTGGCAGCGACCTGAGCCTGAAGCAGAGAGAAGCAGCGGTTTGGGGCTCCAGGGAGAGCAGAGCAGCCGCCGGCTGAGCTGTGGGGCTGCAAGGCCAGGCCCGGACAGGGAGGCAAGGCGGACGGATGGAGGCGTACCCCTTCAGCCTCACGTTCTGAGAAGGCCCAGCAGCCCTGGGGTCACTGCTAAAGTCAGGGGCTCGGTGGGGCTGGGGCTCGTCCAGATTTAAGCTAAAACACGCTGGGAATCCTCAGACCCAACTCTCACGTGAGGGGGACACAGCACTGCCCTCAACCAGAACAGGCCCAACACAGCTGCCTCACGGCCACGGAAGGACGTCACTCGACCTGCGGACTGTCCAGCCACCACACAGCAGCCTCCCACCTCTGACAGGCTCTCACAGGCTTCCCTCTGCAGCCACAGAGCCGGCTACCACCCAGCCCGGCGCGTGGACACTCAGAGCAACCGTGCGGTATCGTACAGCTCAAGTACCGGCTGGTTGCCTGTGACCTTCAGAAGCTTCTCTACTTCCTTGAGGCCGACCCTCACCACCTAGCTCCATAACCACGTCCGGGTATAACACAGTTTCCCCCATCCCAGGCCCCCGTGAAGGGCCATCGGCCCCTGCTCAGAGCCTAGACCTCAGAGCTATGGCCCCAGTCACCGAGCCACCCCCAGACTGGGGAGGGGGCCAGGGCCTCTGGGCACAGGGCCCTGCGTGGGTGGGGTGCTGGGAGACAGGGAGGTAGGCTTCCTGGGTCTCCTGTGAGGACAAACAGCGGGATTTGAGGCCTTGGAAAATCCCGCCTGGGATTCCAGGCCCTGCCGGCGTCACTGCCTTTTGACTATTGTCCCCGACGGAAACGGCCCAGCCCCCGGGCCGCAGGGACAGAGCGGCCATTGTGAGGCCCCACCAGGCTCAATGCCCCCTTGTTCGCCCTCCTGGCCCCTAGCAAGACTCAGAGGCCAGTTCTTCCAGTTGCTGGTTGGAAAGAAAAGGCCTGCCTGCAGGCTCCAGCCCTTGGGCGGGGCAGGGCGGGGCAGGGCTGGAGAAATCAGCCACTCACCCCGTACCCCAATTGCCAGAGTCCTGGAAAGGAGCCACCATCCATGGAGCTTCTTTCATTTACAAGGACAGGGAGACCTAGTGGTTAAGTAGTTAGACCCATGCAGCTCAGCCACTTAGAAGTCAAGTGACCTTGGGAAAGTCATTTCCTTTCCTCTGAAATGAATTCTCCTCTTTGGTAAAAACAATAGCTATTACTTATTGGGTGCCTGCTACAAGGCAGACACCGTTGGAAACACTTTGTATACATTCATTCATGTAATCACTATTAGCAACTTTGTGAAACAGGTACAACTAATTTCCCCATTTATAGATGAAAACACTGAGGCACAGAAAGGTAAAGTGACTTGCCCAAAATTGCACAGCTAGGAAGAGCTGGAGCCAAGCTTTAAAGCCGGGTAGTCTGGTTCCGGGGTCCTCGCTCTTTACCCCTCTGCTGTGTTGCACGCTTTCCTTACAGTGTGGTACCGAGGGCTAGAAGTAACAAATACCATATGAAAGGAACTTGGTGGATGATAAATCATAATATGTGGTAGCTACTGTCATCACTATGGGGCCTAGATATCTATAGGGACCAAGATTCTCCACTGCCCCGGCCCATTCCCGACCCCTGGCCCCTCCTCAAACACCTTCTGCTTTCCCCAGGGGCCTGCCCTGTGCTCCACATCTGTCTTTGCCAAAGAGTGATTCAGAGGGAGAGGGACTCAGTCCAGCCACAGCTGGTGGGGGACTTCCCAGCAAGCTCTGCTCCTAAGCAGAGTACTGCCATCAGGCTCAACTCCGCGTGGAACAGATAGGAAACCAAGGCTCAGTGAGGAAGAGGGGCTTCTCAGAGAGCAGCGTGGAGCTGGGGTAGGGCTGAGAACAGAAGCAGATCTCCCAACCACCCCACCCCTAGCCCCGCCTTGCCAGGTGCTGGTGCTGTGACACAGGCTCACTCACGAGCTCTGGCGGGGGTGCCAGGGATGCACGCTTGGCAGTCCGCACACTGCTGGCCGTGGCAGTCATCATGCACAGGGCCCAGGACTTCCCAGCCCACCCCACATGGACCGTTCAGAACAGAACCTGAGCGAGGGCAGGTGGCTGGGGACTCCTTGGGGAACCTGCAGACTGGGGCTGGAGCACCAGGGAAGGCCCTTGATTCGGTCCTACTGCAAAGCAGAGCCCTATTTTGTTCGACTTCCATCCAGCAGGGGATGCCCTCATCCAGCCAGTTCCTAGGGGCTGTGGAGGTAGAGGTTCAGGGGTCCTGGGCCAAGGGCCCTGCTGGGTCATGAGGCTGGAAGGGCACTGAGAGCAGGGAAAGGGGCCGGACCCCGCGTGGCTACCTTGGGCCTCGGGTTAGGGTCAGGCTACGTTCATGTTTCTCGAAAGAGTGGCCTCCAGGCCTCCAGCCTCACAAACACCTGGGTGCTGGGTAAAAGTAGAGCTCCGTGAGCCCCACCCCATCAAATCCAAGTCTTCGGGGTAGAGCCTAGGAATTTGTTTTTTTTTTTTTTTAAAGATCAATTTTATTTACTTTTGGTTGCATTGGGTCTTTGTTGCTGCATGCAGGCTTTCTCTAGTTGCGGCAAGTGGGGGCTACTCTTCGTTGCAGTGCGCGGGCTTCTCATTGCAGTGGCTTCTCTTGTGGCGGAGCACAGGCTCTAGGCGCACGGGCTTCAGTAGTTGTGGCACGCGGGCTCAGTAGTTGTGGCGCACGGGCTTAGTTGCGCCGCGGCATGTGGGATCTTCCCCGACCGGGGATCAAACCCGTGTCCCCTGCGTTGGCAGGTGGATTCTTAACCACTGCGCCGCCAGGGAAGTCCCTAGGAATTTACATTTTAAGCCAGCTAAGCATCTGATGGGCTTGGGGGATGGAGAACCTACGTGCGGGTATTTGGGTACAGGTAGGGACCTCAGAACAGTTTCCTTGCCAAGGGGGTGCTAGACGCGTGGGGAGAAATATTGAAAATGGCGATGGGAAGAAAACTTATACTGAGTAATGATAGCTGCTATCCCCCTCCTGAGCTGCCTTGTACCCAGCCCTACGGTGAGCACCACACCCCCACCCTCGCAATCCCAGCAGCCAGGTGAGGTGGGGAATGCCCTCCTCCCTGCGTTACAGATGTGGAAGCCGAATCAGAGGCCATCACCCCAGGTTAGGAACTTACAGCCAAAGCCGGTGCTCCTATCCCTGGATGAATCAGTCTCCAGGCGCAGGCCCCATCCACGAGCCAGGCCTGTTTCCCAGAAGCTTTCTCCGTGTGGGAAACTAGTCTCAGTGCTTTGCGTAACAACCCCATGAAGCAGGTACGATTATTTCCACCTTTTACAAATGAGTAAACTGAGGCCAGTAAGCTCCGGTTGGTAACATCCTAGATTTATGGGTGCCACCCCTGCCTCTCATGCCATTTGGGGGATGGGTGGTATGGGGGGAGAGTGTCAGAGAGAGACAGGATCCTAGCTTCAGCTACACGTCTATTTTTTATTCAATATATTAAATATATTAATCAGAAAAGACACATACTATAAATCCAGGAAAATACACAAATATAAATGTCAGAATCTGTCACTGGTCTTCCTCCTAGAGTGAGCCTATGTACACATGGAAGGAGGGCGGGAAGAGAGAGCAAGTAGGAGGAGGCTGGTGGGGGCCCGTCCCTCCCTCCCAAACCCCACTCCCACCTCAACCTCTTCCTTCCTGTATTTACAGCAGCATTCGGCTTATTTACAGCATGGCGGTATGTGTGTTAAAAACGGTTTTATCTTACAAAAACATAAAGACCAGGGCTGGGCTGGGGGGTAAGACAAATAGTAAGGGTCACCCCTGTGAACGCATCCCCCTCCCCCAGGGCATGAACTCCCTGCCGACCTCCCAGAGCAGGTGGCGGGGAGGGGCGGCCAGTCTGCAGCTCAGGCCCAGGCTGAGGGGTGGTGCTCCAGGGGTCCGTGGGCCGTGGGCTAAAGGCACGTGGGGTGGCGTATGAGCGTGCACACAGAGTGCACGCGTGTTCCCGGGCTGGGGTCAAAAGGGCAGCGTGTCCATAAAGATCTTCTCGACGATGGGCGGAGGGGGCACCAAGTCCTCCAGCTTGAGGTAGAAGATGCGCTGCAGGCCCTGGGTGCACAGGGTCCGCAGCTCGGGCAGCTTGCCCAGCAGGCGTGACAGGCAGCTGGCGGGCTGAGGCTCGCCTGCCTCGGCCGAGACGTGCTCCTTCAGGCAGCTGGCGATGCGGTTCTGCAGCTCCTCTACCCTGCAAGGCTCCTGCAGCCCGTGCCGGTCTGCGGGGAAGGTGCAGGATTAGCTGCACAGCTGAGGAGCAGACGCCCCTCTCCCCGGCCTCTCCCAGGTCTCTGGAACGGCCGCCAGTGACCAGGCCCCACAGCCCTCTGCACTGTGCAAAAGCACAGGAGCTCGCTTCTGAGCCCCAGTAGAAGCCTAGCAAGGCAGCAACGTTCATTATCCTCATCTTCCAAGTGACACAGTGAGGCCCAGAGAGGTTAAATGACTTGCCTAAGGTCGCAAAAAGGAAATAAAACCCTACGCAGGTTTTCTGACGAGGCCAGTGTCGCTTTTGGTTTTTGGTTTTTCTCCCCCCAGACTGTGAGAAGCCCTGGGTTTGAGCAGCAGTGTTTCAGAGGCCACCTCCAGGGAAAGCAGGCCTCAAAACCCACCACACTCTCTCTGCAGCCTAGAGGCCTCAGATCTTGTCCTACAGTTTTTTGCCCTATGTAGCTTTGTGAAATTTCAGTTAAAAAAATTAAGTGAAAAAGAGGTGGGGGCAGATTCTGGTGCTTTAAAAAATAAAGAGACCCGAAAACCTCCGCATTTAATGCCAAAAACTCCATCCTGCATAATGATATTTACATAAAGTATACAACAAGCACAGCTAATCTGTGCTATTAGCAGTCGGGGTGGCAGCCACCTTTTGGGGAACTGATGACAGGAAGGGGGCACAAGGAGGGGTTCTGGTGTCCCGGTCATGTCTGTTTCTTTTTTTTTTTTTTTTTTTTGCGGTACGTGGGCCTCTCACTGCTGTGGCCTCTCCCGTTGCGGAGCACAGGCTCCGGACGCGCAGGCTCAGCGGCCATGGCTCACGGGCGCAGCCGCTCCGCGGCATGTGGGATCCTCCCGGCCCGGGGCACGATCCCGTGTCCCCTGCATCGGCAGGCGGACTCTCAACCACTGTGCCACCAGGGAAGCCCATGTCTGTTTCTTGATCTAGGTGCTGTTTATGTGCACATGCTCCATTTGTAAAAACTTCCTGTGTGCAACACGATTAAGATTTTAAAAACAAACCCAAACTTTAGGCCACACATGACACCTACACGATCAGGATCTGTGGTCCTCTGGGATAACTCACAGGCTGGCTTGGTTTGCAGTCAGCCACAGCTGGGCCCGAAGCCTGGCTCTGCCACCTGCCAGCTGTGTTGCCCTGAGCCATGCTTACCCCTCTCTGCATCTAATCACCCTCGCTCCACAAGGTGGGGGCCCAGGAAGCGCCAGATGCCCGCCCATCCAGGGCCAGGCCCTCAGGTCCTCCCCATCTCCCCAGGTCTGTGGAACTAGCCACCCACCTGTGATAAGGACGAGCGCAGAGAGGCAGGCAAAAGCAGGGACGTCGACGACCAAGCTGTGCAGGGAGCGAGAGAAGGCCAGGATGCTGTCGATCCAGTCCCCGAAGCCACGGGCACACTGCAGCCGGTGCAGCACCAGGCCCGAGCAGAAGATGAGCTTCCCCTCAGCCGGCTTAGACCTGGTGGGCAGGGATGCAGACACCAGTCAGAGGGGCTTGAGGGCAGGGCGGCAAGGTGAGGGGGGAGCAGACAGCTGGAAGCTCACCGGTAGGCCAGGCGGAGGATGAAGAGCTCCAGGAAGGCCGACTCCAGCAGCAGGTCCTGGTCCCCGGGGGACAGCTCGGCAAAGCCGGGGATCTTCTCAGCCCACTTGCGGATAACCTCCAGGGAACCCGAAAGCAGGTCGTAGAACTGCTGCACGTCCCCGGCATCCTCCTTCCCCAAGTGGGGCAGCACCAGCTCCTGGAACTAGGAAGCGGCCTGGCGGTGAGGTCAGACCCCAGGAAAAGCCCTGCACCAAGGCCGCCACGTACGGCCATGACGCGCCCTCCCTCGGATGTCAGATCCCAGGGGTGAGAGTGGAGCTGAGATTCCGCCCACACTTGCTTGCCAACTCTCACATATTAACCCAGGGCCACAGCTGCTGGAAGGAGCACGTTTTTCTAATTGGCCACTGCCCAAAGGGGTACATTTTCCCATCTGGTCAGCCTGGAGGGGCCTCCTCTCTTTTCAATTTGTGGAACTGGGGGCTGGGGCGGGGGGCTTTTCTAATGTGCAGGAAAGCGCGGAATGTGGGGTAGGCGGGGCCTCACCTTGGAGTAGTCCAGTTTGGAAGTGCTGGGCCCCGAGTCCAGGTGTGCCCGGACCAGGGAGGTGAGGAGATTCGCAGGGGAGGCATCCGGGGGCTGCTTGGGCTTTGAAGGGAGCCGCCCCCGCCGCCCCTTCAGGCTGTCTGTGCGGACAACTGCAGAGAAATGGGCAAGGGTGAGCAAGGGAGGAAGGGACCCAGGGAAGGGCCTCTCAGCCCGAGCCGTGCACAGCAGTGCTGGGCAGCAACCCCAAGTGCAAGGACCTAGAGCCCCCGAGACCCAGGGGACGCTGCAGGGACCTCCCCCACCACAAGGCAGGCAGGTGGACCAGAGGTCGGGGAGGAAGTAGGGCCCAGGCCTGCCCTCCCCTGCGGCCCACCAGAACAAGTGTCTGGGGGACTCTGCCGGCCCCACCCCACTCAGGCCCGCCGCTGCCCCACTGGGCCTGTGCCCGCCACCCACCTTCCTTCACCATGCCCACAGCCAGGCACTTCTGGAAGCGGCAGAACTGACAGCGGTTTCGCCGTCTCTTGTCCACAGGGCAGTCCTTGTTAGCCAGGCAGATGTACTTGGCATTTTTCTGCACTGTGCGCTGGGCGGGGGGGGGGGGGGGCAACACGGAACACGCTGTCAGAGCGTGGGGATGGGGGGAGCCCAGGGGAGGGAAGCGACCAGATCCTACTGCCATCGCAGACAAAAGCGCTCTCTGTTCACAGCTATTTTTCTAACATTTGGGTGGCAGGGGAGGGAGAGATGGATGGGTGGGGGAAGGAAGAGAAAAGTCTTGGGGACACTGGGGGAGGGTTCGGCCTCGCCCTCAGGACACAAGATTAGGGGCTCGGGGCTCCCCAGCAGCTGGTACTTCTTAACGTGCCTGCGTCCGCCTGCCCCTTCCCTGGGGCAGACACGAGAGGGCTGAGGAGGGGCTGGGGGTGGGGACGGGAAGCGAAGCAGGCACCCAGCACTGGGACAAACACACAGCCTGTTCCCAAGTCCGCCCCCAGCCCTCAAGCACCAAGCCCTCTTCTCAGATCCTTTCATCTTGCGCCAGGAACACGAGCGCCTGGGGCCCCCCTTCCCACCAGGACCTTGAGTGGGGGGAGGCCAGGCAGAGGAAAGCTAGAGGCTGGCCACTGAACTTCCCCTCGTGGGTACCCCTGCAGCCCGCACCCTCTGCCCAGCTCTCACCCCTCCCTCCATAACTCTACAGCCCCAGTCCCAGCATGAAAAGGTCCCAGCTCCCTGCTCCCAGGACAGTAGCCTACCTGGCAGGCCTGCCCTCTGCTTAAAGAGCAGAACTTGTTGGGAGGAGAACCCAAGGCAAGCCACCACAGACCCCGCTGGGGTGAGAGAGCAGCCTGTCCCACCTCTCATAAAAAGCTACCCCCCGGGCAGCCCAGTACCTTGAAGAAGCCCTTGCAGCCCTCGCAGGTGCGGACACCATAATGCTGGCAAGAGGCGTTGTCCCCACACACAGCACAGCGGCCCTCGCTTCCACCCGGAGCCCCACTCCGGGCCTTGGCTGAGGTCACGGGCGCGTCCACCATCCCCAAGCCATCAAGGTGTGAGGAAGCGGGCACCAGGCCTGGGAACGCTGTTGGCATGGAATAGCTCTCTCCCTCCCCCAGCTGGTGGGCAGCCTGCGAGGGGAACAGCTTCAGGGGGCTTTGGGCCAGGCTGGGACTGGGGCCGGTGGGAGGGCTGAAGGAAAAGAAGGTCAGCTGCTGGGGGTGCCCAGAAGCCTTGGGCAGCTGCTCTGTCCATGCCCGCATGCCTTCATAAGTCTGGCTGGGCGAGAAGGGGCCGAAGGAGCCGTCCCAGGGAGAGAGCTGTGGCGGCTGGAAGCTGGGCGTGGACGGTGATGGGGCTGAGCAGGGGCTGCCATAGTAGTCGGAGCCGCTGGAGGACAGGGTCTCGTCGAGAGGGCCGCTCAAGGTGCCGGGGTAGCAGCCGAACACCTGGAAGTCCTCGAACTTGAACGAAGCGGAGGCAGGGGAGGTGGCTGACGATGAAGATGTGGAGGAGGCCGAGGAGGAGGCCGAGGAGCACGGCTGGGCTGTTCCCGGCAGCTGGTACAGGAAGGTGTCAAACTCCCCCGTGTAGCCGTCCATGAAGGTGCTGAAGCTGGGCAAGGCAGTGGGGACAGTGGGGGCCGCCTCAGGGCTGGCCAGGTCCATGGTGGGCTTGCTGAGCTCAGGGGTCAGGGGGTCACGGGGTCCTGGGCTTGATGCTGGTGTCCCATACTGGGCTTGGATACAGGGCATCTCTGGAGAAGGAAGAGCAAAGGGTGGGGAGGGGGGGAGTCAGTGAGAGAAGCCTGAGGCCTGACCTCTAAGTATAGGCCCCTGAGTTGCCAGGTGGCAGGAGTCCCAGCCAGACATGGGACACGAGGCGTTAGGGCCACAGCCCACCACAGAACCCAGGAATCCTGGCCCCCGGCCAGAGCACCGTCTCGACCTCCGTGTCACAAAGCCCCTGGGCAATGGCCCAGCAAGAGTGGGCTCAAGTCGGAAGGCCAGCCACACCCCAGGCAGCCTGGGAACCCTAGGGAAGGCATCCAGCCAGCATTTCTCTGCTGGAACAGGGGAAAGCTGTGTTCCTCCAGCCCCCTGCCCCTCCCTTACTGGGTAAGGCATGGGTGGGGGCTGGGAGAAGGGTGGGTGGGAGAGGCAGCCAGGCAAGGCCTGAGCCCAGTCCCAGGAGTAGATATGTTGTTCCTCCAACCTGGCACTTCTGGGAATATTCCCAGGCATGGCCCAGCCTCTCCCAAACCCCCTCTCCTCCTCCCCACACAGTGCCAGTGCCTGGGCTGAAGGACATCCTGCAAATGGAAGAGGAGCTGGGAGTGAAGGCCCAGCTGCCTACAAAAGCAGCGTAAGCAGCAGTGAGCCTGTGCCCCTCCACCCCCACCCCCACCCCCACCCGTCCCCACCCTACGTACTGAGCAAAGGCTGCAGATCCCACGCGCACCCCAGTCCTGCCATCTGGGGACAGGCACCCACTCTACACTGCCTGGGATGCTCCCAGAAGCAAAGAGAAAGGGAGCCCGGCCTTCCTACCCAGTCCCCAGCTCCCCAAGGGATCAGGTAACCCGGCTCCAGACCTTTAAAGGCCGGATGCTGGAAGGGGGAGCGTGAGGGAGAAAGCAGCCCCTGGACTTCCAGGAGAGGTCCTGAAGAGGAATTCCTCTGCTACCCCCAAAGCGTCTCCCCCTGTTGTTTTTATGAGAACACTCAAGAGTCCAGGAGACTGGAAATGGCTGTGCAGGGAAGAGGAGGAGCCTGCTGGTGAGTGTCGGAAGCCCGGGTCCCTCCGCTAAAGAGTTCTGTGCCCTGAAGAAACCAGGAGCTCAGGCAAAGGTGGTTACACCCTGCCCCAAACCTGAGGAGCCTGAAGGAGCAGACAGAGCATCATTTGGGGGGGAACCTTAAGTTCGCAGGCAAGTCAAAAACTAACGCAGGGGAGGCTCCGGGACAGTTCCCCATCCCGCCTCCTGGCTTGGGGGTCTCCGTGACCCTGGCCTCATCAGTGAGGGAGGGAGGCTGGGTAAGAAAGCAAGCTGAAGCAAAGCGTGCCATAGTCAAGGGGGACAGCAGGAGGGGGCCAAGGCTGGCATCACCTCCTGGCCAAGAGCCCAGGGAGTCCTCTGGTTCTAGCCTTTCTCCCACCTCCTTGGGCCCTGGACAGGGCAGCTCCACCCCTGACCTGACACTCCCACAACCAACCCAGACAACAGAGCCCCCAGAAACTCTGGCCCCACCCACCCAGTGGCACCCGTCCAGAGGCACTGAGCACCTGCAAGAGGTAAGGGTGGCCACGTCTGCCTGCACTACGACAGCCTGGGCAGGGATGGGTTTGGGTGGAGGAAAAGAGGCAGCAGCTACACAGGGTTGGGCTGGGCGTTCCAGCCTTATTCAAATCCCGTTTCTCCACGTGGACGTCCCACATCCGGATCAATCCCCACCAAACTACCCCCACTCCTGCCTTCATGCAGGTACTTAATGACACAAGATATGGACCTACATCTAGCCTTTGGCGGAAGCACAGGGAGAAGGAAGAGGCGGGGTTGAAGGAGGGAGCAAGGAGAATCCAGCTTCAGGCGGGTCCTGGCAACACTGTGGTTTGCACCTGTTGTGCTAAACAAGCCTCAGGCTGCACCCTACCTGTATGATCCAACATAGACTAAGGCGGGAGTGGGGCAGGGGTGGTATCCTCTAGGTGGTACCACACCAGAGAATGCAACATTAACAACTGCCTACCAAGGATCCCGAAGGATGACGCTTTCCACCACTCTCCCTCCCTCTCTCCCTCTCTCTTTCTCTCTCTCACACACACAGACAGACGCAGATCCAAGCTACAGTAAAAACAATCTTCCCTACGCTTCCAGAGACCCTGCTCCTGCCGGTGAGAAGACTCCTATATTCCAACACACAGCAGCACCCCCGGCACAATTCAGCCAATGCTGACCTCAACAATCTAGACCTCTCCTAGATAATCCAGGGAGAAACTTCCAGCTGAGGGTCACCACAAACTAAGCCACAGCCTCTAAAGTGTTAAGAAAACAACTAACAACTAAGGGCTGGGGTGCGAGCTGACAAGCTGGGAAGGAGACCCTTTTGGAAATTCAATCCTGGTAGGAGTCAGATACATCCCAGCAGCCCAAGCTCTGTGCACCTTCTCCCCCACGCACACTATACTGAGACCCCAACCAGCAACTAAGTCCCAGGCGCCCGGTGCCCACTAAAGGACCCTGGGAGACTGAACTCTAGCCAGTCTCCTACTGAACAGGTCCCCACTGCTGGCGCCAACCTAACCCTCTGTGGCTTCCACCTTGCACAGACATGCCCCCCCCCGCCCCCCCCACACACACACATACACACACACACACACACACACACACACAGCACTCAGTAAACTCCAGTCCGATCTGAGTCCTCATCCCGTTCCAACCGCTAACCCCCAACGCCAGAACTGCATCCTACTCCCGCCCTCCTTCATGCTGACCCTAAAACACCCTTTCTGCCCGCGCGAACACCCATCTCCTTCATGCAGCAAGCCCCCCAACACAAAACAGAGCTCTGTGGAGATGCACGCTTCCCGGGGGTCACCTACCCGGTTGGCTCCTGCTCCCCGTGCCCAGGACCGGCGCCCCAAGTCGCAGCCCGGTCCCGCGTGCGCTCCCGCGGTCCTGCACACTCCCCCAACTTTCGCAGCCTCCACCACTGGGACTCCCGGCCGCGCCGGACCCTGCTCTTAAGCGCTCCGTGACGCACGGGGAGGGGCGGGGGCGCCACTGACGCACGCGGCCGGGCGAGCTTTGGCCATACAAGGGCGCGGGGGGCGGCGCGGTTCCGGCGGGAGGCGGCCAGGGGTAGGCACGGGGACGGGGAGCCCGAGGGGGCGGGGCGAGAGGGGGGGCCTGGAATGTCTGCGCGCGTGACGCACGCGGGGTTCCATTGACGCAGGGAGCGCGGATCGTTTGATCTATAAATAGTCCCCTCTCGCCCTCTGCGCCAGCTAAAAATAGCAGCTCGCGGATTCGCGAGGCTCCTCCGGCAGGACCCAGCACCGGCCCGGGGCCCCTGGAGCCGAAATAAGCAGCCCGAGGGCCAGAGCCCGAGAAAAGGGTGCTCTAGCGCCGTGGCTGCGGGGCTTCCCCGGACGAGGAGCTCCTCAGCCTCCGGAGGCTCCCGGGAGCCACGAACGCGCCCGGCTCCGCTTTTGCACCCTCCCCAGCCCTTCCAGCGGGCCCGGGGAAGGCCTAGGGCTGGGGCGGGCAACTCAGGGACTCACCCCGGAGAACCTGCGCCCCCCACCTCAGCCCAAGGCGCTGCCACTGCACTTGACCCTTCTTCCCCAGCGGGGTCTCGGGCTATCACACACACACACACACACACACACACACACACACACACACTTATTCCCTCCCCCCAATTTCTCATGCAAAGTACCTTCCGGAGGGCAGGGATTCGCCAAGCCCAAGACAGGCCAACTGGCTGTGCTTCCCAGCTGAAGTTGATTTCTCACCACTACCCTCCCCAGTCCCTGACAGGGTGAAAGCACTCTAGTTGGGAAATTACAGAATTTCAGAACCGGGTGGAGCCTGAGAAATCTTTTCGAATCTGTGCCGACTCTTCCCCATTTTATAAATAAACAGGCTCAGAAAAATAATGGCACTTGCTCAAGATCACAGAGCAAGGTGGTGGCACACTGGGGTGGAACCTGACTACATGTCTAGGGGATCCCTTCACACCCTCCGCTGTCCATGATCGAGGAGTTCCCACCTGCAGCCTTCCCGGGAGCCCTCGCCTGCTAGGTGGGAGAGAAAGGAAGAAAAGGCTAATGCTTAGAAGAAGAGAGCCCCTCCCCACACCCCTCCCCCTCTCCCCTCTCCACACTGAGCTTGCGCCCACGGACCCCACTCTGGCCTCCCCTGGTCACCCAACAGCACTTTCCTCTACTCTTGAGGCACTTCCTGCTCCTCACTTCCACTGTCACCTCCGTCTCAGGTTTCCCACACCCTGCTCTCCAGCCCCCACTTCTGTCCACTCAAAGGTCCCACCAGCACCTCAAACGTCACCCGTTCCAGACAGAGCCTGCCGTCTCTGCACTCCCTGCCTGCCACCCATCTCTGCTCCTGATGCCCCACATGCTACTTTTCACTTTTTCCTGAAATTCTATTTTGGAACTTCTCTTGGATCCTCTCCGTTCCTAATTGCCAGCCAGAGCCCACGCCTCACTGGTGCCTGAAGGCAGCAGACCAGCTGATTGAGGCCAGCGACCTCCCCTTCTCCCTTCTCCTTGCCCACGTCCATTAAGAAACTGCCCCTTCACCAGCCTGCCTCCTCTTTCCGAACCCTACTGTCCACCACGGATGGAGCGGTCTTCGTGTAACACCAGCATCATTCGGTGATCCGGTCAGAACCTAGCATAGCTCCCCCATTGCAGCCCGCAGTCTCAACATGGACCAGTCTTCAGAGAGCTCTGGCCTTTGCTGAGACATCTTCTAAAGACGCGTCAACGGCCACCTGCGTGAAGATGAAGTGTGGGTAGGATGATGTTTAGCCAAAGTTTTGTTTTTCTCCATCTTGGGCTTTCGCACAAGATATTACTTGGATAAAAAGGATGCCACAGCTTAAAACTGGTTTGAAACCACGAATATAATTCATGTCTTCCCATTTTGCAGATTAGGGCCCAAGGGCTCCCAGGAGAGCTGCACCTCGCTCAGAGGCACAAACAAGTCCGGGCTGGTGAAACTAACCCAGCTGGGTCACGGGCTGGTTTCCCCACCTAGCCCCCCGCAACCCAGCCCAGCAGGACCTTCCTCAGAAAATAAAAACAGAAAATAAAAACAATTCTAATATGTTAGCAAAAGACCAGGCCACCGTTCTTCCCTCCAAAACTCATCAGCAAAAGAAAACGAGAGGCAAGAAAAGCTAGATTAGCTGCAGCCTTAATGGCTCTTTGAAAGCTGACCCAGCCTTGAGCCCTAGCACCCCCTTTTTTCCCCACCACTTTCCATCTGTAAAGAGCAACACAGACCATCCCCTACCTTTCCCATGGGGAGGCCCACCCAGGAGCCCCAGGGAACTCAAGTGTGGTGAGGAGCTGTCCAGGTCCCCAGTCTAAATCTCCACGTCTCAGCATCCAGCCTCCAGATTTGTGCCTGCAGCCCAGGCCCCATCTCCGTGGGAGACTGCAGGTTTGGAGGTTGCAGTCTTGCTGCCCCAAAGGCAGAGGGTGGAAGAGACAACAGCGGCTGCCACTTGGCCATGCTTGTGGAGGTGGGGGACGCTGGGGGCTTGGGACACGCCACACTCTGAAAATAAGTAAGTAAGGAGAAAAAGGCAGTCCCTCTGTAGGAACACACCCGGGGAGCACCTAGCCTAAGACAGAGAGGGGAGATGCGAGAGGGGCTTGGGGACCTCAGGCTTCATCCCTGCTGGCCAGATGCCCTCCAGGGAGGGTGGCCTGGGGCTCTGAGGTGGAATCTGGCCAAGGTGGAACCCTTGAAAAGGCACAACTGATGCAGACTTTGGGAGACCTGGAGCATAAGCTGGTCGAAGACTGGACTCCAAGGGACCCCACTAAGCCCAACCTTTAGGAGCAAGGTCAGAGTGAACAGCTCGTTGTGGGGTAGGTAAGGGTTGGAAAGAGACAGGTAATGATGGCAGAGGTATCCGAAACTAGAGGTGAGGACCAGAAGGTAAAGCAGGGCCATGATAACACAGGAAGGGCAGGGAAAGATGCTGTGCTGGAGACGAGACAGCTGCCCAAGGTCAGGCTCGCACAGCACAGCCCGCCGATCTACCCTCACCACCCCCAGGATCCCCGCTGCCCCAATATAAAGACCTTGGGCTAAACCTTCCCACCACCCACTGGGCACACTGCTCCTCTTCCTTCTATTCTAACCCTACTCATCCTCTAAGACTTCAGCTCATAACATCCTCCTGGACCAGCCTAACTCTTAATAATAAGTACCTTCTCACTGGAGGGTCTGGGGGCAGGGGGAGTGAGGAATACCAATGAAGGGTCAGACCCTCGGCTTAGGGCACTTCACGTGGATTCTTCCACTTAACCCTCTCCCTAACCGTCTACGTTTGGAATCACCACCTACATTTTATAAATGAGGAGGAGGCTTAGGGGCCAGGAATCAGACTCCCTGAACTCCCAGTTCTGTGCTAGACCACTGCCCTCAACTCTGAACTCCAGAGCTCTGGCTTCTGGCCCCACGAGCCTTGATTCTTACAAGTGCACCACAGAGCTGGTACGCACAAGGCCTATAAGCTGGAAACGGCAGCGCCTACGAGGGCGTCTCTGGGGGGGGCTGGAAGCGTCCCAGCTCCTAGTCTGAACGGTGGTCACCTGGGTGTGCTCAGTATGGAAGAGTAATCACGCTCTATGCTCTGAAGATTTCACGTCTGTGATTTATGCTTTTCTGTATGTATGTTATACTTTCAGAAAGAGAAACAGTGGCTGTTTCTCATTACGTTATTTGTTCTATCGACACATACTCAAGAGCACAGCTACGGTTAGGAGAGGCTGCAGCATCTGACATCAGAAAGGGGTCCTCTCGCAGTATGTTTTCTCAACCACTCAGCTCGGGCCTGGCCCCTGCTAGTCAAATCTTGTGGGGCTCGGGGACTCTCGTGCTCAGGCCATCCCTCCCCCGACAACCAGTGTGTGAACGGGAGGGCAAGGCCCTGTCTCTCCCACCTTGGCAGGAGGCCCCTTCATGCATCCTCAACAGTAAGTAGCCCAGGGCAGGCCGCAAATGGGCAGCCAAAGTACACCATCGTCCCCCAGCCAAGACGGTGGGTAAATAGGAGACGGAGGAAGTGGAACTGCACAGCCCCTTTCCCACGCTGCCCCGCCCACCTCAGGCTGGCCCCTGCCCCTGCTGAGCAAAGGGCAGGAACTTGCCCTACTTTCGCCAAGATCATCCTCACCCGTGGGCCTCCACACCCTTCCCACAGGGTAGGCAGAGGGAGTGAGCTTTGCCTCCTCCCCCCCCACCCCCCACCCCAGCTTCCCCACCTTAGCCCCAGGACCTATCACCAGGCCTGACCCAGCCACTTCCTCTTCCTGCCCTGGCAGCAGGCAGGGGGATTTGTGCGCTGGGCAGGGAAGCTCTGCCTACTGCCCCAGGGGGCTTCCACGGACAGCTCTGGGAACTGGGGATGTAGGGGCAGGCCCAGGTCTGATCTTCTGGCCCTTGTCCAGCCCCTGCCACGACCACACGTGTTGTCACCTCCCAGGAAAACAGGCTCCCAAGGACATGGGCAGGTCAGCCGCCGCCCTCCACTTCTCACCCCAGCCCCAGCAGAGGCAAAAGATAAAGGAACTCTCAGAGGCATCTTTGACCTGGAGCCAGCAAGCCTGGTGTGTGACCCGGGGCCAGTCCCTTGCCCTCTTCGGGACCGTTTCCTCATCTGCCCAATGCTGACAACATGACTAGTCCCGGTGCTGTTAGAATTCAAGTCACTAACGGAAGGGGGAGGCTCACAGTGAAATGGGAGCACTGTCTGGGGGCTGGGGCTCTAGGGACCCGCAGCAGGATCCTGAGGCAGGCACAGAAAGGAGACACCAGCGCCGTCAGCTCGACTGGGGAGCCAGCACCCTCCTTCTTCAAGACCCAGAGATAAATAGTACCCCCATCCCCACCTCTCCCTCTCCAGGGCTGCGTGAAAGGAAATGAGAGTATGCCCAGAGATGTGGCTCCACCCAGCACCAGGAAAATTCCGGACTGTATGCAGCAAGTGCCCAACTGATACTCTGAAGAGAGCTGGTTACTTGAGCAGGTCAGACCTCTCTCCACAGAGGTCATTTCCAGTCCAGTGATTTCTCAACCCCCAGCCCGCTATCAGGCCAGAAGGAATCCACGTACAACATAAAGCAACAAGATCAGACTTCAGGAAGAACATCCAGACAGAGCTGGAAAACACAGACAAGATCATGGAGGTCCTCTGGGAAGAGTCGACCCACGCCTCATTTGTAGCCTCCTCAAATCTCCTTCCATTGGCTTCCCTGGTGGCGCAGCGGTTAAGAATCGCCTGCCAATGCAGGGGACACGGGTTCGAGCCCTGCTCCGGGAAGATCCCACATGCTGCGGAGCAACTAAGCCCGTGCGCCACAACTACTGAGCCTGTGCTCGAGAGCCTGTAAGCCACAACTACTGAAGCCCGTGCGTCTAGAGCCCGCAACAAGAGAAGCCACGGCAATGAGAAGCCCGTGCACCGCAACCAAAAGTAGCCCCCACTCGCCACAACTAGAGAAAAGCCCGTGCGCAGCAACGGAGACCCAACACAGCCAAAAAAAAAAAAAAATCTCCTTCCATGCCCCTCAGTCTGCTCAGCTCCTGGCCAGCTCTTCTCTCCCCCACCCTAGGGGGGTCTCCCACCACCTCGCACAACATCAACAACCCACCAAATTCCCCTGTGCCTGCCCAAGGTCTCCACCCAGCCTCCCTGGGCGAAATTTCAAATTCCAAAATAAAAACCCTCTGATAACGAGGCCCAGCCGGAAAGACTGATGCATTTTCCTATTGTTAAAGTATTTTTAGTCACAGGCTCTGGATTCGTTTAAAGACTCACGTTCAGAAAGGGAAAATTTTTTTTTTCAAGAACCAAGAAGGAGAGCACACAGCCTCCCACGTAAGGAGCTCCGCTTATTGCATGCCGGCCCGAGCCCCTGGCCCGGCTCCTGGGGAGCGTGCTTGTGGCAAGCCGGTTGGCGGACTTGCCAAGCCTAGCTCCAGTCCAGCTTCTCAGGCACCAAACCAGGCGGGAAGCCAGGCAAGTAGGGCAGGGCAGGGGCCAAGGGCGGGCTCAGGGACGTCAATCCACAAGTTCAGACCCCAAGTCCCAACCAGCTGGGGGGCCAGGGACCCTACTCAAGGACAAGTGCTGAGGTACCTGACTGACACCCAGCTCACTCCAGCATCCCCTCCCCAGCCTGAGCAGACCAGTGTTGTCCAGGCCGGGTCAACAGGACAGGAGGACGGAAGACCCTGTTGCAAATCTCTGAGGAAGGAGACAGGCGGCATCACCTATTTCCTCGTCGCCTGGTTCTCAACCACAAGGGGGTCCAAGTCCAACTCCCATCATCCAAGTGCCATCAGGCCTTTACTCTCATCCCTCGGGAGGGTGGGCCACCCCTGCTTCCTCCTCCGCCCCTCCCCCTCTGGAGGCCAAAGAAACCACAGTGAGGACGGTCACAATGGAAAAAGATGCACACAGCCCAGCCCCTGTGCCTCGGTTTCCCCATTCCTAAGACTCACCAGCTTCCTCCACACGATCTGCTTTGATTCTCTGAGGGCCTGGACAACTGCACCAAGGGAGAATCCCGGGATTGGTTGGGGACTCTTCCCGGTGGCCTCAGGAAGCCCTGCGGGAAGAGACGTGACCGCCCAGTCAGCCCGTCCGAGGCTGTGCACCGGCTGAGTGGACTCAGGACATGGAGCGGCCTCCAAGCCAGCATGTCCTCCTCTGTTTATATAGCTGAAACCAGAGCTGGCCTCTGGGGGCAGGGGGAGCTGCCTCAGGGCCCTCTTGGCTGAGGCCTGACTTTGGCCCAGGTCAGCAAGAGCCTAAAATAGTCAGCTGACGGGAGCCCTGGCATGAGCGTGACCCTGGGCCCATGCCCGGGCCTGGCAGACAGGTGCCCACGTCACAGGACCAGCAGCTCTAGCACTCATGGAGCCCCCACTGGCAGCACCCACGGTGGCCTTGGCAGCACCTCTGGCATGGGAATTCCACCCAATCACCACCCTCACCCAGACAACGGACTGACCGCAAGGAATTCTGGCCCAGGAGCCACTGGGTACCCAAAGGGAAGGCTAGGCACTCAGCAGGCCGCGTCTGACCTGAGGGCAGAGGTGGGGGCTGAGCGGAGGGAAAGACACCCGGCCGCTGCTGTCATCTTCATTCACGTGCTTCCCGAGTCCAGATGTCCAGCTGACCAGGGACACCTGCCTCTTCCACTCACAGTAATTCCTCTCCCTGCCCCAGCCCGAGGCCGGTGGCACAGTGCCTGCTGCCAGCAAGAGGCCAGGTGCATACCCAGCGCAGCCCCCGGAACAGGAGGCCCTGCTTCCCAGGGCTTTCCCTCCTTCCCTCCAGGCTTGGAGGGCTGGGCAGCCCATCCTCCCCATCCCAGCCACCTCTCTGGGACTCTCTGCACCTCGAACACCAACTCCACAAGAGGCAACAGAGTTTGGGGGTCCAGGGTGGGATACTGAGCCAGCTCCTGCTTCATCTGGGGATCTCTCAAGGCCCAAAGGGGGTGTTGCTCAGAGATGACCCTCGTTTCTGGGCAAGGAAGAAGGGAATAAGATGGTCCCTGTCCAGGGCGCCAAGCTGAACTCCAGCTCTCTCAGGTAAACACGGTGACCAGGACTATGTACCCTTGACCCCGCCCCAGTACCTCAAGTCCCCAAGGAAAGGCCTGGTGGAAATCCCATTCCCACACTCCACCCCTCACCCACAGATCAGCTTGTGTCTTCTCTGGAGGCATCTTCAGGCAAGGAAGGTGTGTCCTCCGCCAGCTGACCAGGCCACTGGGCTTGCCCAGAATCCAGAAGACCTGGATTCTGAGCTTGGGTCTACACGTCCTCAATGTAGGACCTTGAAAAGTGCCTTGTCCCCTCTCTAACTCAGTTTCTTCATCCATAAGGAGAGGAGGGGAGCTAGACGGCCACGGATTTCTCTGGCCATGGCCACAAGTCTGAGACTTTCCCTCTCAGGGATGTTGGATGAATAGTGAAGGGTCTGTCCCTGCCCTTGGTCAGCAAGATCCTCCCCATTCATAGAGCCACCCCCCCATACCAGACCCCACAGGACCTACAGGCCCACCACAGAAGGGGGCAGTCATCACCCTTTCAGGGAGGCAAGGGGTGGTCCAAGTTTCCCTTCATGCACTCCCCTGGTACAGTGTCTACACCCTAGGAACAAGGCAGCTTCCCATCCCCCAGGTCTGCCCCGCTATACTCCCAGCCTGGCCTTGAGCTACACAACCCCACCCCATCAGCTTCCCGGAACGAGGCACATGCTGCCCTGGGAGCAGCTGTCATCCCCGACAACCCCATGACACCCAGGCCCAGAGCCCCCCAGTCTGTCCTGCTAAGAAAGTCAGGCTTCCCCCCTTCCCTGCCCCCACGTTACCCCCACCACTGAAGAAATCAGATCTCCCCATGCTGAGCAGCACCTCGCCCACCACCTCTGCAGTGCTTCCCCCTCCATCCCCCAAACCACATCCGCTTCAGGCAGCTCCACACCCACCTCAGCCCCCCAGCCACCTGCTCAAGGGCCCCGGGGGCGTACAAGGGGCAACAGCAGGGCACTCACCACTCTGGATGGACCAACAGTCCTCGAACAACACTCGACCATCCCTCGGGCCTTCGGGGCCTGGCAGAAGGCGCCGACACCAGGGAGGGGCTGGGGCTGGCCTCTGTCCACAGTGGAGGCCTGCAGAGGGAGAGTCCACGCGAGAGAGGAGAAACCAGCTAGCGGGACCATTCCCTGGAGACAGCACAGCCAGAAAACAGGAGTGGGAACAGAAGCAGGACCCGGGCCATGAAGGGGGACAAGGCAGCCCAAGGACCTCCGTGAGCTGGGCGTCAGAGGCTGGGGGCCCACACCGCAAGCAAACAGCACTTGGGAACGTGGGGTGTGGCCAGGAGCTGCCGACAGTGTCTGGGGCATCTCAGGGCCCTGGAGACACAGCTCCTCAGCCTCACACCCCACTCCTGGGGGGAGGCGGGTACCTCAATCCAGCTTTCATCTCCCTGATGTGCACAAAAGGGCTTGTTGTAGGCGGAGAAAAGGGAGCTATTGTGAGGACAGAGCAGAATACCCCTCTCTCCTTTAAGGGGCTCCAACTTGGCCCCCAAAGCTTCAGAGGCTGCAGAGCAAGGGCTCCATGCCCCCATCTCTAGGCAGCCCAGCCTTCTAATCTGAGCCATGCGGACTCTCAGGAAATCCTCTCTGAAGGGATTCCAGTCACAAAACTGGAAGGTCCAGCTTGGGGTAGAGTGGTTAAGAGCATGGATGCTGCATCCCTATTGCCTGGGTTCAGATCCCGGCTCCATCACTTGTAACCTGAGGCAAGTTACATAACTTCTCTGTTACTCATCTGTGAAAATGAGAATCTGTGGGACCTCCCTGGTGGCGCAGTGGTTAAGAATCCGCCTGCTAATGCAGGGGACACGGGTTCAAGCCCTGGTCCGGGAAGATCCCACATGCCGTGAAGCAACTAAGCCCGTGCGCCACAGCTACTGAGGCTGCGCTCCAGAACCTGCGAGCCACAACTACTGAGCCCACACATGCTGCAACTACTGAACCCACATGCTGCAACTACTGAAGTCCGCATGTAGATCCCGTGCTCTGCTACAAGAGAAGCTACCACAATGAGCAGGCCGTGCACCGCAACAAAGAGTAGCCCCCGCTCGCTGCGACCAGAGAAAGCCTGCATGCAGCAACGAAGACCCAATGCAGCCAAAAAATAAATAATAAATAAATAAATAAGTCTAAAAAAAAAGAAGAGAATCTGTAATTGACATCTCTAAAATTAACAACCATACGGTTACCAGCGGGCTTAAAATGAGCTCATATGTGTAAAGGACTTAAAACAGTGCTGGATACACACAGGTGCTATCATTATTAGGAGAAATTGAATGATGACACATAAAAGCTAACCCCAGACCCTGGTTCCTATTCCAAGCCACTTCTGGGCACCTGGCCTCTACTTCCAGAGCCACCTGTGTGTGCCACCCCTCCAGCCTCTTCAAGCTCTCCCCCCAACCCTGCTGGTGCCAAAGCCTTCAGCCAGGGCAACTCAGACCCCACTCCTCTCCTTCCCTTTTCCTACCCTTACTCAGCCCTCTCCTCTCTTGACTGGGCCCCAAGGTGAGGGCAGGACCAGACAAGGCGTGATCTTCCCTGGTTATCAGGATGCCCTTCAGGCCGATGAGATCTGGGAAAAGAGAAGTAGATGCTTCCACGGTGGCAGGTAGAGGGAGTGAGGAGGAGGGGTCCCAGAGGGTAGGTGATGGACTCCTTCACCCTCCTAACCTCTGTCCCAGGGTCCACAGGCTTAGGGGAGTTCCTCTAGCCCATGGTACCCAGATTCTCCTTTTACAGAGCTATTAGCACCCCGATATCCCTGTGGGTATAATGGGGAGCAGGGCATGAAGAAGGGGAAGGCGGTCTGGATCATCTGGAGGGAGTCCAACCCCACACAGAAGGCAAAACCAGGCTGCAAACCTGGCCCAGCCCACAGCCTACACCTGCTTCCCAGAATGACCCTGTCATCTTCCCGTACCCCAGAAACGGTCTGCGGTCATGCCCTAGCCTCCCCCCATCCCCGACCCCACCAACCTTCCCTTTTCTCCCTTCCAGCCCACAGCTGAGGACAAAGGGTAGGGAGGGCCAAACACCTCTTACCACAGTCAGGCCCAACCTGAGTGCCCAGGAAGACCCTATATCTGAGAACAGGGGTCAGAGTCGGGGATCCAGTTGGTGCCCAGAAAGTGATTCACAACATCTTAGAGCAGGCATCTGATCCCATCTCCTGCCCTCCATCAAAATCCCATCCTCAACAGTCATTCCACAAGCATTTACTGAGGGCCTACTGTGAGCCAGACAGTGAGCCTCAAACAGTGGGAGATCCAAGAAGCAGCAAATCAAGATCCCCGGGCCCCAGGAGGTTACGATGCAGGAATGAATCAAGATTGGTTACAGTCAGCCCTGTGCAGAGGACAATCCAGGGGCTGAGTGGGCTTGGAGGAGGAGAAAGTGATTCCCCCCCAAAGGAAGTGGGCGCCTCAGGCCAGACTTCAGCACCCAGCCCCTGCTCTCCAGCTCCCCTTCCCTGCTGTGCTCCAGCCCCATGGGCTCTCTTTCCCCACGCAGAGCCTCTGCATTGGCTGTTCCTTCTGCCAGGAAAGTCACTGCCTGCGATATCTGTGTGGCTAGCGCCTCCTCATCAATCAGGTTTCCATTCCCATTTCACCTCCACTCCCACCCCGCCACATGAACCTATTTTTATCATCGCCATAGGACTAATGCTGTGCGTTTGTTTACGTGTCTCTCCATTGCTGCAGAGTTCAGTCTCCAAACCAGAGCTCAGTACTAACAGGTGCTCAGTTAAGTATTTGTGGAATGCGGGAGAGGGGAACTCAGACGTGCCTGCATCAGGAAGGGTTTAGGAGGAGGGTCAGCCAGTCACCTGGAAGGAGGCAGGGAGAACACTGCAGCTAAGGAGCTGTCCCCTCCACTTGGGGGCAGACCCAAACTCCAAGGGTTCCCTCCTATGTTGAGTCACGACTGACACAGGAGCCCCCAGCCCCGCATGAACCCACCTGAAACCTCCTTCTCCTCCCTCCTATCAACTGAGTCTTTTCTTATCTGAACTCCTTGCAACAGGACATGAATGACAGACCCTCTGCAGCCCTAGTGGCTTCCTGATGGCATAAACTCTGCATTGGCCAATGTCCCCCCCCAAAAATGGGCAATATTACCATTACCAACAATAACAACAGCAGCTAATATTCGTTGAACACCAAGCGCTTTACACTCATGTTCTCATTCTAGCCTCACAACACGGTGAGAAAAGCATTATTCTTATTATGAACGTTTTAACAAGGAGGAAACTAAGGCACAGAAACGTTAAGCAACCTGTCCAAGGTCACACAGCTAGGAAGTGACAAAGCTAGGATTAGAACCCAGGGAGCCCAACCAGGGAGCCCAGGGTCAGGCAACCCCCTTCCCTCCTTGGACCTGCTTAGTGGGCACAGAGCAATCTGACAGCCAACACCAGAGAGCCAGTGGGAAGCTCCAGGGCCTGAGTTGCTGGGTTGAACCTCTCAGCTCGTTTTCTTAACTCCAGCACAGGCCTCAACATCCATAATCAGTCTCATTCGTCCTGCTAGACTTGGTCCATCCTTCTGCCTGGCTGCCATCGCTTGGAACCTTGGCTTTACCGTACTATACATTTGTCATTGTCATTCCTCTCACCTCTAGGTCACTACAAAGAGTCGGCTGGCTTCCCTTTCAAGTCTTCAACCAATTCACTTGGTGTGGGTCTAGGACCAAGCCTGAAGTCACCACTGAAGCCTCCTACTACATCAGCACACTTTGGGCATAACTATTCTCAATCCACCTACCTCTGCCCAGCCTTCCTTTTCCCAGCACACCCCTAATACTAGCCCCCAACCCAAATTATTATTCCACTGGAAACCACTGGAGATGCCACCTCTGCAGCACTTCTAATCCCAGGTCCGCTCCTGACTCCACGAGACCCTCTCCAGGCTCGGCTTCTCAGCTCAGTCCCACGAAGGGGTTGCACCGGGCAACTCTGGTCCCTCCCGGCTCGGCATCCTGGCAGCCGAGCTCCCTAACTCCTGGAAGCCAGCGGGGAAATGGAAGGAATTCCTCCGGCCTGGCCACTTCCAGCGCCCCTCGCGGGCCAAACCCCACCCTTGGCGGGCTGGGGCGAGAAAGCGCTGGCCGCCACACTCGGGGGCTGACTCGGATGTAGCCGGTTCCGCCGGGAATCCAGTCCCTGCCCCCACGCCCCCCGGTCTCCAAGCGGGACTCCCGGCGCGGCCCCGACCCCCGCCACGCACCCGCGCAGACCGCACCCTTCCCGGGGCCCCCGGAGCCCCCTCCCCGGCCCCCTCCCCTTGCCCGACTCGCCTGGCTCGCCTCGCCGCCCCCGCCTTCCGGGGTCGCGCCCCCGCCGGCGGGGAGCGGCTCGGCAGCGTAGGAGCGCCCATGGCCGGGCGGCCGGGGATCGCGGACGCCGCGCGGGGGACCCCACTGTTCCGCCGCCGCCGCCTCGCGCTCCTGCAGCCGCGCCACCGCGGCCCCGCGCCCCCCGCCCCCGGGGACCCCCCCGGCCCCCAGTTCCGGCCGCGACCGCGCCCCCCGCCCCCGCAGCCGCCAGCACCGCCGCCCCAGCCCCGGGCTCTCCTCCCCCGGCGGGCGGGCGGGGACAGTGACGCGCGCCCATTGACGTCTCCGGAATCCCGGCTGCGTGGCCGACGCAGCCTCATCAATGGGGCTAAAAATAGCGGCGCCCGGAATAGCCGCAAGGGCCTGGCCCCGCCCCGCGGGCCCCCCTCCCCAACCCTCGCCGCACACTCCGTTACATAATCCGCCCGCCTGTGGCCTGTGTGGGGGAGCTGTTTCTCAGGTGAGGCGTCTGCGGCCGTGCTGACATCTTCCCAGGCAGCGAACCTGGAGCTGACTTATAAATAACTTAACCCGGGGGCTTCCCCGAGGAAGAGGTGGAAAAAGTGAGGCCCAGAGAGGCTCAGCAGCGGCCCAAAGTCACACAGCAATTAGGCTGCTTTGAGAAACCAGGACCGGGGCCCTCTGAGCCCTGGACACCCCCACCAGCATCACTTGGCCTACATGCCACCACAAGGGCAAGGAGCCCAGCCAACAGGGTTTCCAGCGCTCACACGAGAAGGCAGCTTAGAGAAAGAAGACTTCTGGGAAGGTGAAATTTCTCCTGGAGAGAAGCATTCCCAGAGGCAGCTGCTCCCATACTACTGTGTGACCTAGGGCAAGTCACTTCACCTCTCTGAGCCTCAGTTTTCTTACCTATAAAATGAGGATGATGAACTTCCCTGGTGTCCAGGGGTTAAGACTCTGCGATTCCACTGCAGGGGGCACGGGTTTCATCCCTGGTCAGGGAACTAAGATCCCACATGCCTCACAGCGCAGCCAATCAATCGATCGAAATGAGGATGATAATATTATCCACCTTTTCCAGTTATCAGGAGTCAGGAGAATTGAACAACTGTGGAGGTGCCTTGTACACAGTAGTTACTCATAGTTACTTTCTCCTCCTCGTTTTCCTCTAGGAACCTGACTTCCCCAATCCACAGGAGTGCTTAGTGAAAGAAACACACAGAGGCACACCACAGTGGCCAGGAAGCCCTGAGTGGCCCACCCTCTTCTGATCATATTCTTCTCCCCAGTAAGAACCTGCCTGGGAGTGAGAGTGCTTGGAAGGTTTCCCTCTCCCACCTGACTGGAACACTCTTTGGAAATGGGAGAACTGTATTTGTCTGGAGCAAACAAATCCTTCTCCCCCAACAGCAGCCCACTTAGGAGGGGCTGGCTCAGGGAAGCCAAGCCAAGGCCGGAGCAGTGGGGCGGGGGTCTGGCTGGGTGGGGCTGGGGTTACAGTGTCTCCCCCTGTGCTGCCCAGCAGGCAAGGCCCTTGGGGAACGCCCATGAGGCAGGACCAGTCCTGTGCTCTGTGGCCCTAGCCATCAACCGCTACTCATTTTTGGAGCCACCTTAAATTATGAGCCTTTTGCTAATCAATCCCAGCGCCCAGGCCAGGCCCCACGCAGCAAAGAATCTCTTCTGCATTCAAACTCTGCAAAAGAGGCCCCACACCTCCACTCAGCCCTCATTCCAGGGGCCACATTCCTCTCCCCACCCCCCCGCCCACCCCCAGAAATCCTTTCCCGGACCTGTCCTGAACGCCTGCTGCAACTCAGAAGCCCCTTTCTCTCCTTCTTGAGAACGATCCCAAGAATCTCTGGTTTGTCTCAAAATCACCTTCTCAGAACCTTTATATTTCTTTCCCAGATTCAAATATTAGGCCAATATGGAGATAAAGAAACCGAGTCTTCAAAAAACGGCAAGGTCGGGGGTGCGGGGAGGCTGTGAGTCTGGCTTTTTCCTTCCCTCACCACCCTCCTCTCCTTCCTACCCCAGGAGTTCCTTCCAAATGGGCTTTTTAAAGAAGCCACTACCCCCACCTCCTCCTTTTCTTTTTCCAGAAATCTAACTTTTGAAATACATTTTAAAAATATTTGCCTGTGTAGGAGAAATACATTTATTTGGACAGGAAGGATGAAATTTTTTAAACGTCTCAGTTACCAGTTTTTCCATGAAGGCTTCCAGCCCACAGAGGTCTCTCCCTTCTATAAATACTTCAGCACAACTTGGCTTTATTATATACTCTCCTGTTTTATAATGAAATAAAAAACATTAAAATATGTAATGCTAAAACACACACACCTTTGTGGCTCGTGGTGGCAGACTGAGATGGTGGAAGTAACATAGGCTCAAGAGGCCTGGGATTGACACTGGTTCCAACCATTACCAACTAGGTGACTTCAGGGAAGTTACTCACCTTCTCTTGCCTTCAGTTTCTTCATTTGAAACAAGAATAACGACATACCCGGGGCTTCCCTGGTAGCGCAGTGGTTGAGCGTCCGCCTGCTGATGCAGGGGACACGGGTTCGTGCCCCGGTCTGGGAAGATCCCACATGCCGCGGAGCGGCTGGGCCCGTGAGCCATGGCTGTTGAGCCTGTGCTCCGCAACGGGAGAGGCCACAACAGTGAGAGGCCCGCGTACCGCAAAAAAAAAAAAAAAACACCTTTAAAAAAGAATAACGACATACCCATCTCACAGATTTGTCATTAGGAGTGCATCTTTGATAGTAGATATAAGAATGCAGCAAGGAGTCTGGCACGTAGTAGTAGACCTGCCATTTCCACACAGGAGGATTTGGGGGAAGGCAGGGCTGGGACTTTGTCTTGAAGCTGCACATGCAAAGTACTCAGCCTGGTTTTGCCAGCTGGTATGTTTATCAGGGGGCTTGAGGAGCTGCACAGATGAGGGCAATGTCACCTCATTATGTCATGAGAGATGTCCAGTAAATTTCAATCCTCTTGTTGTCTCCTTGACCCTGTTAGTCAGTGGCCAAGCCAGGACCACAGCCCCAGTCTTCTAGACTCCCTGACCAGTGCTCTAATTTGTATGCACCATCTTGAACCTTCCCTTTCTACACAAATTCCAGGAACTACCACAGAGCCCACATGGCAGATGGGAAAACTGAGGGGAGAGAAGGTCAACTCCTTTCACGGCTCAGGAGCTAGGACTAGAGGGGAAAACAGACACCCCAGCCAGTGCTGTCCCACATTCTGGGAAATTCCTAAGGGAGAGGACAAGATTTTGCCACAGAAAGATGGATCCTAGTCTGATGGGGAAGCAGGACACAAGAGGCCTCCCTGGAAGAAGCAAATGTGGGCACAGTGTGAAGGGAGAGACAGGACCAGGCAAGGCAGAGAGAAGGGAGGGTATCCCATGGAGGAGAAAGACTGACCTCAAAGTTCACAGGGGTGGGGTGGAGGCAGGGTTGAGATCCTGGGGGTGCAAAGCCCCAGGACCCAGGACAATCAACCAGACCCTTAGTGGTGTTCCCCATATGCCCTTCCATCTCAAAGTAGCAGAAACTCATGACCCAACTCCACCTAGTCAGGGAGACACCACTCCACCTCACCTCCATCCTGGCCCACTGGGGGCGGTGGTAAAAGGATGTCAAGGGGGTTCCCCAGCCCATTGGGGCCCTGAAGGGGCTCCCCTGTCCAGGCCCCAGCCCTCAGTGAGGAGAGAGGCTGTGGAGGGGATTCCCTTGGTGGTTCCCTTCCTTAACCTGAAGATGGAGAAATACCCGGCTGGGGTCCTCCCACCACTCCCCAGGTTTAGGAGCAATTAAAGGGAAAAAAAAAAAAAAAAAAAAAAATGGGGGCACAAAGACAGGGCCTTCCAGGGGCTGTCGCAGGGATCATGGCCTTCTATGGACAAAACCCGGATGAGAGTACTTGCTCTGAATTACATAAGGACGAGGAGGCGCCCCGCTGGGAGCTTTTAAAAGTGCCTCCACATTTGCTCTTCCCTAGTTGCCATGCAAGGCCATCAGGGCCAACATGAAAAAGTGGCCAAAGTCACGAGGCTGGAAGTGACAGAGCTGGAATTAATGTCAAGATTTCTCCTAAATCCAAGCCAGGCTCTTTATTAAAAACAAACAGAAATCCTCTGTAACTTATTTTTTTTAATTACAAAATCAAACTGGCTGGTTGTAAACAAATGCAAAACGTTACAGGACTGCGTGATTTACGAAGTGAGAGGCCGGTAATCCACTCCCAGAGGAGTCGAGTTTGGTAATCCTCTGCTGTCTGCTTCCAAATTTCTCTCCATGTCGCCAGAGATCAGATCTGGCCCAGCGGGCCCTCCCAGAGGGGCCGGGACCGAAACGCTAGGCCGAAAGAAACAGGGCCGGGCCCCGCTGCACGGCTGCGGCCTCGGCAGTGCCCCACGTCGCGTTCCCGGGGGCGGCTGCGCTGCCCAGCGCCGGGTCTGGGTGGGCCGGGTGGGGCCCGGGGAAGCCGCTACCTCACGAGGCATACCCGAGGGAGTCAGCACGGGGACCAGCCGGGATTCCGTTGCATCACCCAGCGGCGCGGAGCCGCGGCTGGGTAAACACCGCTGCAAACCATTGGCTACCGGGCCTCCCTTCCAACCAATAGCACGAGCGTATGCAAATCAGCCATCGGGCTTTTGCTTCCTTTGGATCTGATGTATGCAAACAGACCTCTTTGCCAGGGTGCGGAGACCCTGGGCTGAGGAAGAAGCGTGTCTCGAATTCCGTAGGGGGGCTGGTTTGCGACTTTCCATCCCAAATCTGGTCCAGCCACTCCTATGGGGAATAGAGTGTAATTAAGGGTAAGCGCCCTTAATTCTTGAGCTATCTTTTCAGTTAGACCATGC